ATTGTAATTAGTATTTTTTCTTATTTGACCTCTAGAAGGCTCTAGGGATAGATATATTGTGTGTATACACATACATATGAATTCTGTGAGGATCAAAACGTCTTCATGAGACTATGATATTAAAGTGAAATTTTACTCTCTACTATTTGCTGTTTTGGTGATTTTAAAATTAAATATATTGACTCCTAGCTAGATAGGGGCTATTGGTTGTAGACAGCAATACATCCAAGTAAAAAAAGACATTTAATAGACTGCCTTCGAAGATAGAGATGATCCTGGGAATTCTTCTAAAGTAGTTACGATAAGAAGGCTTTTTCCAAATAAGCTCCTTAAAGGGGAGTAAATTTCAGTTAGCAGAAGCTCTCTTTCACCTTTTGAACTTTCTCTTTTATCCTGTCTAAATGCAGATAAAGAAGCTAAAACTTGAGCTTCATTCTGTCACCATGAAGGAAAAGATTAGTGACTTTCAGAGACCTCAGCCTGACATTGTAAAGTGGCCAAATCGCCATCAGCAGAGAACACCTGCTCCAGATATTTGTTCAGCAAGAAAAAGAAACTCTTAAGTAGATTAAGTGACTGTCATTTTTGTTTGCTATCTATGCAGTCTAATTTAAGTTCTAAATGATATTCCAAGGCAAGCTTCTATCAGCAAATCAGGAAGAATAATTCATGCATATGTCTGGTTAACAGACATTAAGAATAAAAAATAACAATTGTCTCCCAGAATTCCTTCTCCCTAAATGCTTAGGGGACTTGAATGTGAGATTATAAGATACTTTTGAGTGTTCTGGGTTAGGAAATTGAGTGGATGGTAGTGACATTAACAAAACAGAAAATATTTTAAATTTGGAAGGGATATCATAAAATACAAATTTTTAATATTATGTTTTTAAATTCAGTGTAAAAAATATTTCTGATGAAGTGATTATTTGTATTTTATGGTATTGCCTGGTGTGAAAGTTTTGTTTTCTTTTTTAGTAGTTGTCAATGTTTCTTAAACTAATATAGATAAATCAATGGTTTTTCCATGAAACACAGAATTTTCCACAAATATTTGGTAATACTATAGGAAGATTTATAAAAATTAAATATTTTTTATGACAGGAGTGCCAAAAAAAATTCTTAAGATTTTTCAAAAACTCTTATCTTGGCCACCCAATGAGATTGATGCATCTCTCTGGATTTTGTCCTTCCTAATGAATGGCACTAGCTGTACTAAACTGAGCAGATGCTGCCCTTTCTTAGTAAACAGTCTGCCAGTTTTAGCTGGACAGCAGCTGTGTACGGAATGTGAAGGTTTACCAGCTCACTCCCTCAGGATAATTCTCCATAGGCTTCTCAATCACACAGAACAAAATGCAGAGCTCCCTAAACCATCAGGCCTTGCTGCCCTTTCAAACCCCCGTCTTGTTATGTTCTCCCTCACTCGTTGAGATCTAATACTTCTGTCCGGCTTTCACTCTTCTGAGTACAGCATACTCTTATTGCCTTAGGGCCTGTCGCTTGTTGCAGCCGCTGTTTGAGCTGTTCTTCCCCTTGCTTTCTGTCTGACCAAGGACCATTTAACCTCCAGCTCTCAGCATCAATGCCCTTTTGTTAGACGTTTCACTGGTCGACTCTTCATTATGTATTTCATCCTCTCTCACCTTCAGTATTCTCTTCTACAGCAATTTTTAATCTTTTCATTCATCAGTTGCAATTTATAATTGCAGAAATACTCTATGCCAGGAGGGCAGGGACCACATTTGTTTTGGTCACCCCTCTATACTAAGGAGATGCTGTGTTGGTTAGAAAATAAGCATGACTCCAGCAGTACATATGTGTGAAATAATTAGTGTGTTATTATTATACTTGTGGAATACCGCCAATAAATACCTATTTGAATTAATACATTTTATAAGTTTATTATTTCGATCTTATTATAATAATAAACAATAATTTTGCCTTTTTTTTAAAGATAGAACTACTGCCTTGCAATTAATGATAAAGTAAATCTAAACAATTCAATTTTCTACAAATGTAGCATGTATTTCAGAACAGTGAAATAAAATTATATGTTGAGAACATTATCTTTCTTAGTTTCTATTATCATGTAAAGTAGACAATAATGCATTATTTGCTTAGGGATTATGGCCAATAACGATATATTTACATCAACTTTAGAGGTCATTTGGAAATAAAACAGTAGTTAAAAACAGAACGTGAAATTCGAGTATGTGTCATTGTTTTTAAGAAAAAAGACTGCATTACAAACTCATCAAAATATTAAATTTTTTATTTTAATATTTTCAACGCAAAGAAATAATTAACCATAGGAGAAAACTTATTGTATTATTATTTTTGCTGACATTAAGGGACAGATTTCTGAGAATAAGAATGCTAGAAACTTAACGGAATCAATTTTTCTAATAATACTGGTTTCAATTCCAAAACTATGATGAGCAAAATAATTTTTTAGATTGGATATTTTATACATATGTGTATATATATGTGTTTATATAAATATTTATGTGTATATATATATGTGTATATATACACACCCACATTTATAAATATATTGGGTTATTTAAACCTAAAACTATGTTTCCTTTTAACGACTATAATAACCAACTAAGTGATTTTACTTGTTATGCTATAATTGTGTTATTTGGGGTTGGCTAGCTTGGGGAGTCTAACAACCTCAGTAGTAAAATGTTCATGCGTGTTACCCATAGAATCATCATTGTTGCTGAATCAAGTGTTCATCTGCTTTGAGAACACTGTCTACAAGAGTGTCTCCCAGAACTTTCAGTGTTCTTTCTATATATGACTGAACCCAGGTAACTAAATTGGGGTTCGTTTTACTTCTATAACTGGTTATATATGAGCACACTCACCTATCTATAGAATAAATCCCTCATTTATCAGCTTCACCATTGTCTAAACAGTCCAAGTAAAAATTGCCACTCTGTAGTTTCTTTCTGTTTAGAGCTTTTTGTATCTTAGGAATTGGGCCACTAGTTCCATTAAACATTGCTAGTGAATATGCATTTGTTGAATCTCTATTATGTTCAGGACACTAGGACATGAGACGCTGATGTAAAGGGCACTTTATTTTCAAAGAGTTCATAGTCATAGTGGAGCACAGAGAAAAAGAAAAAAAATTATTAGGTCCAACTATCTATGGTGAGCTCTAGAATGGTGGGTTATGGGAGCTCTCAGCCAGGACTCTCATGCCACAACATCCTTAGTCAACACCACTAGTGTCAAGCTTACGAGTCTGAGACGTAGTGTATATCTATATGTCATGTCCCTTCTTAGATAACAGCCCAAAACAGAATTCTTGATTTCTCTTCCCAACCTGATGTGTTTGTACCCTAGTCTCTCCCTCTTTAGTTGCTCAAGCAAAAACCGTAGATTTTGTCCTTGATTTCTCTCTTTGCATCTTTCTCATATCCATTGCATGAGCTCTGTTTCCAAAGACATCTTAGCTTAATATCCTCTTTTCTTTGCCACTAGTCCTAGTCATTTCCACTCCTCTCTCCTTAAGCCACTACCATCTCTCTATTGAATTAATGCAACAGTCTCTGGAGTCTTGCTGCAGGGATAATGACCTTTCAAATACACTCCTTAGATCATATTATTCATCTCTTTAAAAATCTTAGAGGATTTTTAAAGACTGAAGCTAAGTTCTTACCAGGAACTTCAGACCCTACAGACGCTGACCTTTTCTTACTTCCCTAACCTCATCCCCCAAGATTTATTCATTTTCTCTGTTCCCACCACATTGTTTCTCCTTCAGCTCCTTGAACTGCCTTCTTCATGTGTATTTAAGGACATCTGCATTGTCTATTCTTCTGCTGGAGCTCTTTTTCCCCACATATTTTCATGACTGCCTCATTCTCCACATTCAGTGCTCAACTCAAATTTGTCACTTATTCAAAGAGAACTCCTCAGGTGCCCTTTGTAAGACAGCATCTTTGTGCCAGTTCATTCCTATTGTATTGACCAATTTTCTTTAATTTGTGGTATATTAATTTCTCAAATATTAGCATCTTAGTTTAGAATGATTTTAGATTCACATAAAGGTTGCAAAAATAATAGAGAATTTGCACTTATCCATCTTCCACAAATGTTAACATATTACAAAGCCATGATATATTTGTCAAAACTAGGAAATTTACCTTAGGACTGCACCCTCAAATAAACTGAAGGCTGTAGTCAGATTTTACCAATCTGAATTATTCAGTTTTCCCAATCAGGATATCCGATTGCGTTATTCATCATTTTCTAATCTGTGACTGTTTTCTATTCTTTCCTGGTTCTTCATAATTTTGACGTTTTTGAAAAATACTATTCAGGTATTTTGTTAGTGTGTTATTTAATTTGGGTTTATATAAACTTTGTCATGATTGGACTAGGATTATGCTTTTGGGGGAAGAGTACTACAAAACAGAAGTGCTCTTATTATTACATGTTATCAGGAGACATGTGACATCAACATGTGTTATCACTAGTAAAATTAACTGCAATCACTTGATTAATGTAATGTCTGCCAGGTTTCTCCACTGTAAAACTGGTAGATTTTTTTTTTCCTTGTCATACCCAATTATTTGGAAACAACTCAAATGCAGCCAACAAGCAAAATGAGGGAAGTTATTCAAAATCTTTTAGGTGAAGTAGTAGTAACAAATATTTGTAATTCTTTAAAGAAGCTTTGTTTCCTTGCTTCTATTTAATTATCTACTCGTATATTTATATAGTAAGGACTTAGGGATATTTACTTTAATGTTTAAATAATATTCTGTTTCTTCTTAGATATTGTCTGAAGCATTCCACTAGAATGCAAGTTTCATGAAGGCAGAGATCTCATTTATCTTGCTCATCACTCTAACTCTTGAGGCCTTAAATAATTTCTGGCACAGGATAAACATTCAATAAATATTGGTGAATGAAAGATGAAATAATATAAAATGTATATTTTTATGATAACTTTTACTCACCCTTCTTCATCCTTTAATTAAAAGAGGAATGGACTTGAGGAAACCAAAGAATTTTTAACACACTCGATCATTATGTCCAGGGGAAAAAATGTGAGATGTCTGCTTTGATGCTTTCACATCAAATGTTTGGGGGTACTTTGCAATCTTGGCAAAGAATCCTAAAGAAATCTGACCAACGTAAACAGAAATTTAGCTTCAATCTAACAATAATGATAGAACGAGTCTTACTGAGATTTGCACTGACTCCGTGCAACCTATCCAGAGAATGGTACAAATGGCAGGGTTCATGAGTAACAGTCATGTGAATTACTGATGTTTTCTTACCTTCTGCACAATAGCCCATACATCCCTGAGTTGGCTGTAGTAAGTATACAAAAAAGTTCCCACAGTTTCTTACAGACACTGGGATTTGAAAGAGACAGCAGTCTTTTGTAGTGCTAAACAAAAACTGCCATGTTGCACAAGCTGTCAATTGCTTGATCTCCCCAGGAGATGGCAGTGTTTCTGAATCTCTCAGAGACAGCCAGATGGGGGCCTGAGTTCCACAGTGGTTCATCTTTTGCAGCACAGAAAACAAAAGTTGAAAATTTAATTTATTTTCATCCATTGTAGATATATCAACTTTGCATTTCCTTCTAAACAACCCTTAAAATATTATTAATCATTAAAAAAATTATAACTTGCACCTGTTCTATACAATAAAAAGTAGTTTTAAGGAATACTAAATTTAAGGGTAGAAATCTCATAGTTAATATACTCATTCACAAATTCATTGTAAATATTAATAAATTTATTCCATGCATTACACTTGTATTGTAAACAAGGGAAATTAAATCTCAGATACCTTACTAAAATAGCTGATAAATTCTAAAATAAGACAAGTCAATCTAAAGTTATCTTAACACATAACACAAAGATAAACTGATCTTGGAAAGCTCTTGGAAAACTGCTTGAAATAGTATGTACAAGAAGTTAATACATAGTTCAGGAGGCAATAAAATCAGCGAGAAGGAAGGTATTACTCAAAATCTGGTGATGGAAAATTGTTTAGTAATTTAGAAATAATAAATTTGGCAGGGAGCAGTAGCTCACGCCTGTAATCCCAGCACTTTGGGACGCCGAGGTGGGCAGACTGCCTGAGGTGACCATCCTGGCTAACATGGTGAAACCCCGTCTCTACCAAAAATACAAAAAAAATTAGCCGGGTGTGGTGAAGTGCACCTGTAACCCCAGCTACTCGGGAGGCTGAGGCAGGGGAATTGCTTAAACCAGGGAGATGGGGTCTACCGTGAGCCAAGATCGCATCACTGCACTCCATCCTGGGTGACAGAGCGAGACTGCATCTCAAAACAAATAAATAAATAAATAATAACGTTTCAACCTCACTTGAAGTCATCAAAATCATTTTTCAGATGAAAAATAGAATTAAATAGCAAAATAACCCAGGAAAAATAAGAAGAAACTATGCACGACTCAGGAAGAACCAGGACCCTTACTAAATGCATGATCTTGGACAAGGCACTCAACATCCTTCTCTTTCATATTAGGTGGAAGTAGTACCCACCTCAAAGTATCATAATGAGGTATGGATAAAGTAATATATATAATACAGCTTCTACATAGCAATGGCTCAAAAATCGTTAGCCAGGTTATAATTCTTATTATTATTTCTATGCTTAAAAGCAAAGGAAAAACATAAAGGAAATATTGATATATATGAATGAATTATAATTTTAAAAATATAAGATTAAAATTAAATAATAAAATTATATGTAAGTAGTCCTATATTTTGTTATGTTTATTTATAATCATACTATATTTGCTATTTTATTTTAACCTTGTAATATTATCCATTTAAAACTCTAAGACTACAAATGGACAAAATGTACAAACAGGTAATTCACAAAAGAAACACAAATGCCTAATACATACATGAGAATATTCAGTATTGCAAAAGGTATTTTCATGTACTGCTATTGGAACTAAAAATTATCACTATGTTTTAAATGAACAATTATATGTATCAAAAGCCTCAAAAAGACTTTAACCATTACTTATCTAACTTATAAAAATCAATCTTACTAAAGACACTAAAATTAAAATGATTACATGTGCATTTGCTAATTGCAGAATTGCTTATTATAGCAAAATCCTGAACGTCCACACATATGGTGATGGTTTAAATAAATATGATACATGTATGGCATAATATTATTTTCAAAAATTATAAAAATGAATTTATAATAACAGGAAAATGATAATACTATAACTGTAACTGAAAAAGAATAGCATGTTTTTCAATTGAACATATAACATGAACATTACAAAACAATATAAATAAGATAAAACAATAGCAAAATGTTAATAACGGTAGTTATGACTGTGTGGATAGATTATGAAGAAATGTTGTTCCACTCCTGTTCTTTATTTCCTAAGCTTTATGTAATGCACATTTATTATTTAAAACATTACAAATAGTAATTTATGTAAGTCGACATGTATTAAGCAGTAGAGAAAAAAAAATCATTGAGTTTCCGGTTGAATGCTTTAAAGTCTTAGCACAAAAAGGGAATGAGAGGGTGGAGATAGAGAGCACTTCCTCGTGGAGCACAGCCTGCTCAGTTTAGCTGATCTCCAGGAAAACAGCCAGGGAAACTGGTTCACCTTTACATTTGTGTGAGGTTCTAGAAACAATTGTAGCTAAATCAACCTTAAGAAAAAAACACAAATATTTTTAAATGTGGTGAAGTTCCTCCAATTTTCTCAAACTTTACTTTTAAATTCTAATTGTTTTTTAGTCCCTTACAAATGAAGTGTCACAAAAGCGACTAATGAGCAAATAAACAAAAAAGGGATAATGAGACTTAACCACAATGCCACGCTTTAAAATTAAACATTGTTAAAATTTCAATGTCTTTCCAGAGATCTTTTTACATTAGTGCTTAAAAAGGAAAATGATTCCTGCTTCTGCAGTATTTATAAAATGTGAATAACAATAAGGAAAACAAGCCTTTTGCTAAGACAAAATCTTATGTGATGCGATCTCTCTCCAGGGGCCAATAGTAGCTGCATGACCTCTAAGTTAAAAGAAAGTCACCTTTAAGAATGAAATCACAACCAATAAGTGTATAATTATATAGGGTAAAATTGTGAGTGATGATGAACCCTTTAGTAATTTGAGAAGCATTACACAGACATATGTCTTCAATAATATCATGCCTTTATTAGCTACCTATCACAACTGAACACCTATTTATGCAGAATTCACTTGGGAAACCAGTTAGCTGAGAAAGACTGTGATAAGGGAGAAGATCAGGTACATGGCTTTGGTCATGTGACTCATGCTTAGTGTCTGTGTCCACATCTTTATAATGAGGTAACACTAGCTACCTCAAAGCATCACTGAGAGAACTAGTGAGTTTACATATGCAATAAGGTCCACAAGTGCAGGGAATTTATAAGTTGCAAAATAAATGTCAGATTAAAATCCTTCTTCCACTTTGATCATATAAGTTAGGATGCTGAGTTAATGGGCTTAGTGTTTTGACAGATTTAGAATTAGTCTCATTCTTTAGATGATGTGGATAAAAATGTGGTCGCAATAATAAGAGTTGAACTGAAAGGATAACTGGTCAGAGTATGATAAGTAGAAATAATGTCTCTTTCATGACAGTATCATCAGATGAATGGGGACTACAAATGAATTAGGGGAACTTGCATTTGAAAATCATGCTAAGGATAAGTAGAATTGTCAATAGAAATTCAGAATGGCTTGGATAAGTAATACAAGTTAGCTGAGGGATTACCCAAGAAATCACACTTTATGTTTATTCTTCCGCTTATTTTTTGAAGCATTTTGGAAGAAAATGTAATTGTCAAATGAAATAAGAATGAAAGAAGTCACCTGGGCTAGACAAGTCAATGCTACACAATGCTATAAAGGACAATGCTATGATCAGAATCATATCATGTTGTAAAAAAAGTAAAGTTTATGAAAAGTTAAGTTGCAAATTAAACACATCCGATGTGAGTTCATGTATAAAACCTTTTTAATTTTGTCCATTTAAACCTGATGTGTTTGCAAGACATATGCTTACATGTTCACAACTATAAAGAAAAAAAGGGTATGTTGGCTGCCCAAATTTTGGGTTTGAGGAGGGAGCTTAAGTGAGATAAGGCCATATGCCTCCAGAGTATGGAATATGCTACAGGTATACTGTCTTCCAACTGTGATCAGGAAATACCTGGAGATTTCACTGCCAGACTGAGTTCTTCTTAGTCTTAGAATAGGAGGTGCCGAGCCTGTAAGTTTTACTCCATCAGTTAAGAAAGGCAGTGAGAGGCAACAACTGACAAAACTGAAGCACTTTAGATAAACAGTATTTTACTGTTTGCAGGTAATACACCTGAGCCCTAGAGAACAACTGCCTGTATTCAAAACTCAGCCTTTTGACCTGCTAGCTGTGACTGTAGGAGCACTATGCCTAAGAACATATGTTTTCTGCACTGTTTGATGGAAATAATGATGATACATTGTATCCTAGAGTTGTAAACTCATACAAGATAATGTCGGTAAAAGTGTTTCTGGACTGCATGGAACATAACGTTAACTATTACTATTATTATTAGACTAGGTAATGTGGGAATAGTCTTTCAGATCAACTCAATCTTATACAAAATTAAAACAATATTTTAGCATGAGAAATAAGCTGGCTGTAAGAAGATACAAATCTCATATGAAAAACACATAAGGAAAATCATATGTAGTACTTAGGGAGTCGACATACCTCAACACATTTGGTTGGCATCTCAGCAGGTCTGTCAAAGATGAGAAATCTATACCATCCGGGGGAGAGGGAATGGTCACATATTAGGTCTTGAACAGCTGACTGCTGGAGGTGCCACGAGTCAAAATGGACACTTCTATAAGGACTCTGAAGAAACTGATGTCCCCCAGGAGAGCACTCCTGAGCTAGTATGGAAAGACAGGTGTTTTTATGTAATGCATTTTGTTTGTTGACACAGTTCAGTCCTCAATTAAAATTGATTCTCATAACAAAAAATAAAGCAAATTAACTTACTTTGCACATAAAGACGCTCTGAAATGTCAGGGTCTGTTAGTAAGTCATAAGTGACTTAACTAATTTGCATGTTTCATAAATGCAATAAACAAATCAACAAAACTCTTTAGAATGTACTTTTGAAAGATGTAAGCTTTAAAACCTTTATTTTCATTTAATTCAAACAACCAATAGAGTTGCTTGCTCTTGAGTTAGGATGTCAAGTCACAGGACCTACAAGGATTTCTCTTGGGCCTGGTACTCTGGATTTGAATATCGCTATTGTTTCTCTACAACCAGTTTCTCCCAAAGTAGCCACATGCCTCAAAAATTCTATTTCTGCCAAATGCTGGAATGCAACAAACTGAACTAATATTTCAATGCTAACTCAATATGTGTAAAGTGCTTTCAAATTAAAGTTTCCTGCATTCTTGAATGCAGAAAAACATTAAAAATTTTTAAAATTGTTTTTCAAAATTTTGGAAGTATCTTTTTGCCTACTAAGCACAGAAAAACGAATGGGATGGAGGGGAGCAGGTTTGAAGGGGAAACAAGAAAAGCCCATGGCGAAAGGGAGAATTCTTTAGTCTTTTTTAGGAAACCTTTTATCTGAGTAGTCTTTGGCCTGGAATATACTTATTTCATGAAATCCACAGAGGCCAAACAAAAAGCTCCACTTTCCAGCACTGAAAGTGGAGAGAAGAGCAGGCAGTGAAACAGTTATCCTAAAATGCAGCTCTTGTTTGAGGCTCCTGTGTTCCCAAATTGCTGAAATAATAAGCACCACAAGGAACTGTCTGTATTTGAATACTAGAGTATCTTGTTGGCACAGTTGATAGAAAATCTTCAAATACTATATATTATATTTATTGATGGAAAACACTGTAATAAAGATGGCATCTATGAAATTAGAAAGGTGAAAGAAACAATTCAGTCACTACTAAAAATACCTGATTGTGGAAAAAGCTTATCTAACTAAAAAAGTTATCAAATACTTATTACATAATTTTAAATTACAGAAGTGTTTATAAATCAAAATCAATTTCTCAACTTTAATAAGGAGAACAAAAAATCAGAGATACTAATTTACAAGTGGATCTCACAAGTGTAGCCTATGAAAAATAAGTCATTATAATTAGAATTATGTTTCTGCTTTTTATTTTGTTTATAGTTATGGCAATTAAACGATATAAAGATATTATTTTCCAAAAGATATCTCTACATAATTTTTTTTAGTACAAGATATTGGAAGTCAACACAAAGGGCTCCTCTTTCTTTTGTCTATAAATCCTCCATAGTTGTTAATTTCCCAAAAGGCTCCAATGTCAGCACGAAATAAGTATTTTATAAAATACTTATTTTATAAAATAAAAGATAGAAGTCAAGGGATGTGCTATTATTTCATCTAATCTTGAAATATCTCTAATACCCTTCAAAACAAGGACATTGCACCTGGTTACAATCTTTTAAAAAAGAGATTTTGAAAGAGATCCCTAGTAAGGTGTGCATAAACTATTAAAATGTTTTCTCTGATCTCTTTTCTACAATAGAATTTTGTCTTGGGAAAAAATCAATAACTCCATCTTTATTTTGTGTAGTATTCCTCCTTACTCAGCACCTTTGTAGTTCTTGCATTTCTTCTGGTTTAGCTGCTTTGTTTCCTAATACAAAGCCGAAAATATAAGATGTATAAAAGAAATCACTGCTTGCCATCAACAACACTAGAGAATTGTGTAATATTTAACTCAAAATTTTATTTATTTACTTTTACTCAACATTTATGTTATAGGATAATTTTAAATTCATATATTTTGTATCTATTATTTCATAACTTTTTTCTAAAAATCTACTTATTTATACTGTTCAAGGACTATATAGAAAGTTTAGAAATCTTATTAGCAGTAATCAAGCCACATTTTCAAAGCTTTATTCCAATCTTAGCTCTAGAATGCATGATATAGTTGAGTGAGGATTATATTGATGGCTTGGGCTCTCATTTGAGGATCTGAGGACTCTGCGCAACAAATACTAAAAGAATAGCTCTACAAGCCCATCTCATTCATCAGTCAAGTTCATGGCATGATATACAGAGCTTTCTGGCAAACTGACAATTTAACTTTTCCCCTAAAAAAAAAGTAGATATAAAATATACATTAAATTTATACTTCTATTCATCCTGACTACTTCCTGATATGATTTAAGAAAGTTGGGTAATATATAATAGAATTTACAGTACTTGAATTTCAAGTATTTTGGAAGAATGTGTCAAGTTATAAATAATAGAGCCATAGTGATAGCATATGCAAATGATTTCCTTTTCTTGTTTCTACATACGAGGCAACCTGTATTAGATTATTTTCCAGTTTAATGTAATGACCAAGACTAGAATTCTACAAAATTCAGAACTGGTTGATACACAATATATTAAGAAGCCAAATAAATCATTTTATTTTTAAGAGATAAACATGCGTAACTCTTGGTGACAGGTACTTCATAATAACTGAATTTGTAGTTATAAAATCTTCTGTATATTATCCTACAGGAATTCCTACAGGAATTTCAAGTATTTTGAAAATTTCAAGTCTTCAAAATCTTATAACTTCTTCAAAGATTTGAGAAAGGGAAAAGCCATTTTTTATGCCCAAACATAATGAGAAATAAAAAATAATTTAGTTTCTGACATTCAAAATAGAATTTTCTTGGAAAATCATTCCCATGTTTTAGAAGAATCCAATGTCTGCTGGATGCAGTAGCTCACACCTGTAATTCCAGCACTTTGGGAGGTCAAGAGGCCAAGGCAGGTGGATCACCAAAACCTCAGGAATTGGAAACCAGCCTGACCAACATGGAGAAAGCCATCTCTACTAAAAAAAAATATATATATATATATATATTGTGTATATATATGTGTATATATATACACAAAAAATATACTATATATATATAGTGTATATATATAGTGTGTGTATATATACACACACAAAATATATATAAATACAAAATACAAAATTAGCCAGGCATAGTGGTGCACGCCTGTAATTCCAGCTACTCGGGAGGCTGAGGCAGGAGAATCCCTTGAATCCAGGAGGTGGAGGTTGCAGTTAGCCAAGATCACGCCACTGCACTCCAGCCTGGGCAACAAGAGTGAAACTCCGTCTCAAAAAAAAAAAAAATCAATGTCATAAAAATGGCCATACTACCCTAAACAATCTAAAGAGTCAAGACTATTTCTATGAAACTACCAATGTTATTTTTTACAAAATTAGAAAAAAGCTATTCTAAAATTCATATGGAGCCAAAAAAAAGTGTCCCAATAGCAAAAGCAATCTTCAGCAAAAAGAATAAAGTCTGAGGCATTACATTACCCGACTTCATACAATATTATAAGGCTACAGTAACCAAACATCATAGCAGTCATCAAAAATGGACACATAGACCAATGAAACAGAATAGAGAACCCACAAATAAAACCACACACCTACAGCCATCTGATCTTTGACAAAGTCAACAAAAATAAGCAATGGAAAAAGCACTCCGTATTCAATAAATGGTCCTTGGATAACTGGCTAGCCATAGGAAGAATAATGAAACTTTTCACCATATGCAAAAATTAACTTAAGATGTATTAAAGATTTAAATATAAGACCTCAAACTGTAAAAAGTCCTAGAAAAAAACCCTAGGAAATACTTTTCTGCACATGGGCCTTGGCAAAGAACTTATGACAAAGTCCTCAAAAGCAACTGCAAAAAAAAAAAACAAAAAAAACCCCTAAAATTAACAAGTTGGACCTCATTAAAGAGTTTCTCCACTATCAATAGAGTAAACAGACAACCTACAGAATGGGAAAAAATATTCACAAACTATGCATCTGAAAAAGGTCTAATATCCAGAATCTATAAGGATTTTAAATAATTCAACAAGCAAAAAACAACCCCATGGAAAAGTGGGCAAAAGACATGAAAAGATGCTTCTCCAAAGATGCCATACAAATGGCCAACAAACATATGAAAAAATGCTCAACATCACTAATCATCAAGGAAACGCAAATCAAAACCACAATGAGATATTATCTTACATCAGTCAGAATTACTACTATTAAAAAATCAATAAACAACAGATGTCAGTGAGGCTGTAGGGAAAGGGAACATTTATACACTGTTGGTGGGAATATAAATCAAATCAGTCACTATGAAAAGCCGTCAAAGAAATGAAAAAAGAACTAATCTCAAAGAACTGAAAAAAGAACTATCATTCAACCCAGCAATCCCATTTTGGGTATACACCCATGGAAAATAAATTATTCTACCAAAAAGAAGACACATGTACTGGTATGTTCATCCCAGCACATTCACAGTAGCAAAGACATGGAATCAGCCATGGTGCCCATCAGCAGTGAATTGGATAAAGAAAGTGTAGTATACCTGAAACTGGTCCAATTGTCCCACAGAACTGATGTTTATGGTTTCTTTTGAATAAACATAGAAATTGACCCTGCCAGTCTTAAAACTTCAGAAAGTTACAACTGTCTTATCTGAGTTCCTTTCTCAGGAAACCAACCATCAGGCCTCCCAGATGGTATCAAGGAACTGAAACTTACCAGATTACCACATCTGGAAAATGAGATTCCAGACCCCTACCCATCGTGATTGCTTAACTGACCATCAGCTTCCTGTTGACCAACTCATCTCCCTTATTCCTCCCTAATTCCTGTATTCCTACATGTAGTTATAGCTCTTCTCTGCTATATAAACCCAATTTTAATCAGTCAGAGAGATGGATTTGAGACTGATCTTCCATCTCCTCAGTTGGAGCACCCTATTAAAGCCCTCTTCCCTAGCAATACTCATTGTCTCAGTGATTGGCTTTTTGTGCAGGAATATGCCTATAGTATAGGAGAAAAAGATATAATTGGCTTTTTTCTGAACTCCTGGTATTTCAGTAATACATATACAACATGCAACACTATGCAGCCATATAAAAGACTAAAATCATGTCCTTGGCAGGAACATGGATGCAAATGGAGGCCATTATCCTAAACAAACTAATGCAGAAACAAAAACCAAATACTGCATGTTCTTACTTATAAGGACAAGCTAAACACTGGGTACCCACAGACATAAAGATGGGAAAAATAGACACTAGGGACTACTGAAGGGGGAAGGAAAGAAGAGGGTAAGGATTGAAAAACTACCTATTGGGTACCATGCTCACTATCTGGGTGACAATATCATTTGTACCTCAAACCTCAGCATCGTGCGATGTACGTTTGTAACAAACCTGCACATGTACTCCTTGAATCTAAAATAAAAGTTGAGATTTTTTTAAAAAAATAGAATTTTAGGTTCTTCAGCAACGCAGATGGTTAAAAAGCAAGAGAAAATAGAGAGTGGCTAGTTTGCTAAATCACTTTACATTGGCCTTCTTTACATATCAAAAGACAAACTGAGGGCCTCTTTTGAATACAATTAGATTGAAAGCAAAAGGACAGAAAATAATATATCCTGCAACTAGCAACCAAAAGAAAGGTGATGTGGTTGTACTACTATCAAACAAAGAAGAACTTA